CTCTCCTTTATGTTTTGTTACTTCTTTTATATTTATATTCATATTCAAACCAAAACTAGGTTTATAATTTAGCATAAAAACCTAAAGTTAAATGAGTTTAGTGAATTTGTAAACCCCAGTCGCAGCGCGCTGGATCAGTCGATGCCGTGCAAAACCTGCACGTGTTTAGAGTTTCTTTTCTGCGGCTTATCGGAATAAATTCACAACATGAAAGTACAAAATGAATTTAAATTTAAAATATTGTTTTTAATGCAATTAAAACTAGCAGAAGCAAGAAAAGAAGAGGGCATCGATCATACCCGCCGCCAGAAAGTTGAATCGAAAGCAGTATGTCACCGCGAGCCGCCCGTTTCCGTTCGTTGTTGAACGAAAAAGGAAAGCAGAGCGATCAGATGATTAAATTCATTTCTTTTTACTTTTTTTGATTGTTTTCATGATTTAAATCTTATTTATATTTCAATAAGAACAATATTTTTGCTTTTTTTAAGCTTTTTTTTTCACGCGTTTCAGCATTTCCTCAACAAGATGGCACGACACCTCAGAACCGTGGTGGTTTGTGGAATCCTCCTCGTTCAGATTTGTCTGTTCAGGCCTTCTGCTGCAGATGTTGCAGTAAATAAAAACGTAGAAGATGAAGGTTTTTTGAAGAGGTTACCGCCTGAGTCTGGCGAAGAAGTTGAAGAACCGGCGGCAGAGGTGGTAACCCCTCAAGAAGTAGCAGATGCTGCAGCAACATCCGAAGCAGAAAGTGCTGCTGATNGGCAGAGGTGGTAACCCCTCAAGAAGTAGCAGATGCTGCAGCAACATCCGAAGCAGAAAGTGCTGCTGATCCTGTTGAAGAAGAAAAAGAAACAGAGGAGGTAGGAGAGGCCACCGAAGCTCCAGTCACCCCAGAACAAGAATCTCCCGCCGATACCGCAGCAGCAGCAGCAACAGAAACAGCAACAGCACCAGCAGCAGAAGCAGAAGAAGAAGTAGAGGCTGCTGCTGAAGAGGAAGCTGAAGCTGTTGCTTCTGTTGAAGGTGATGCGGCAGAGGAAGAGGAGTCACCCTCTGGCGTAGATTCCAGCAGCGGATCAGATGATGATGAAGACGAAGAAGATGACGATGAGCCTCTTTTAGGTAATTTGTTTAATGAGGAGGAAGAAGGCAATGCTGGTGAAGATGCATTAAGTTCAGTTGTTCGGCGTTTATCTTCTCTAGAGACAGTCGATGAGGGTGCAGAGGAGAGTGCAGAGGAGGGTAAGGGAGCAGCAAAAGGAGCTCTTGATGCTGTTGCAGCATTGCTGAAGCCTGAAGTTCTTGCTTCTCTTAGTGTAGAAGGAGAAGACAACGAAGCAGGAGCCAAGGCTGCTGCAGACCTGGTGAAGCATCTGTTGACGTTGGGGTTGAATGTACAGGAGAAACCAGGTGGGGGGGCCCTGAAACTAGAAGATATGAGCGAGGAGCAGATAGACGAGCTGTATGATGCAGCAACACAGATGCTGCAGCTGATGCAAACACAGATAGGGGGAGCAGGAAAGGTATTAGAAGAAGCTGCTGCTGCTGCTGCATCTACTGAAGCTGCAGCAGCACTACCNGAAGCCCTTATAGCTCTTGCAAAGGAAGCAGTAAGTGCGCTTGAGGGGTCAGCAGCAGCTGCTGCAACAGAAGGTGAAGATGCAGCAGCAGCAGCAGCAGAGAGACATATCTATGGAGAGATGGTAAGCAGAACAAAAACATCTGCTGCTGAGCTGCGTACAGCTCTAGATGAATTTATAAAGGCTCTGGGTGACCTTATCGTATACACTGCACAAACAGAAGAGCAGCAGCAGCAGCAGGAGCAGCAGCAGCAGCAGCAAGAAGAAGGAGCAGCAGCAAGAACAGCAGCAGAAAGAACAGCAGAACAACTTAAACAATACCTCGTCAGCAGCATGCAGTCTGCTGCTGATACACTCGCAAAGACAAACCCAGACCTTCTTGAGCTCTTCGCTCGCTTCTATAAACTCCTAAAAGAATCAGCAGCAGCAGCAACACCAGCAGCAGCAGCAGCAGCAGCAGAAACAACTAACTGAAATTGCAACGGTGACGATGAATAGTTAGTTGTACATTGTGATGTGCATACACCTCATTATTTTTATATATATATAATATTTAAATATATTATATATATATGTATTATATATAATATACTTATATATATGTATATATAAACGGGTCCTCTGTGTAGTAGACAACAGCATGCATGCATGCAGCGACGGCGGTGCTGCAGCAATAGCAGCAAACACTGCAGCAGCAGCAACAGCAACAGCAGCAATAGCAGCAACAGTAGCAGCAACAGCAGCAGCAGCAGCAGCAGCAGCAGCAGCAGCAGCTACTCAATTCTTGATGAGCTGCGCTGCGGTTGCCACCCTGCTGCTGGTGTTTTCGTCTTTGTTTGTGGAGACTTTTATTTTTTAATATATAAATAAATATTTTTATTTATAAATAAATATTCTTTTATTATTTTTATTTTTATTTTTATTATACACATTTATTTTTGTGTTAGTAGTAGCTTTCCTTAACTCACTCCTTTCTATAGAAAGAAGGGTAGGGGGTGCAGCACATAAAGAGAGTATGAAAGCACCTAAACCCTAAACCCTAAACCCTGAACCCTAAACCCTAAACCCTAAACCATCAGCACTGCTTTATATGGGCGAGAGGCCCATACATACAGCTGAGGTGTATGTACACTGTAAACGTTAGCTGCTGAAAAATTATTTTGTAGTTTCATCTGTTAAAATTTATTTTTTAATTAAAACATCTATATAGATGTAAAACCTGTTTGCTAGGGTTTAGGTCTAGGGTTTAGGGTCTGGGGTTTCCTAGGGTTTAGGGTTTAGAGCTTGGGGTTTCCTAGGGTTTAGGGTTTAGGGTTTGGAAGAATGTTTGCTTGGCTCTCTGTTTGTTTATTAAATAAATAAAGACAAATAAATAAATAAATAAATAAATAAATAAATAGATAAATAAATAAATAAATAAATAAATAAATAAATAGAGTTACAGCCAACTGCTGGCATCAAAATCTATTTTTTTTGTTGTTGTTTTTCCTTTATTTTCTGAATGTTCTGTTGAGCAAAAACCCCAAGCGGGCGGTGCTGAAGAGGTGCGGGTCTTCGAGCTGGATGCGATAGATAGTCTCTGTTGCATGCATAAAAAAAAGAAATAAACGAAATAAAATAAAATAAAATAAAATAAATGAATAAATAACAAGTAAAATATATACAGGAAACAAATATAAACACGCATAGAAAGAAAGAAAAACAAAAAAGGGTTTAGGGTTTAGGGTTTAGGGTTTAGGGTTTGGCTGAACTAACAAAGCAGAAGTTACAGTGCATCTATGATATTTGTGTTTTTGTTTGTCGATTCATTTACTGAATTTATTAATTATAAATAAATAATATATATTTTATTAATGGATTTATTAATTATATATATATATATATATATATATATATATATATATATATATATATATATATATATATAT